TCCACCACCGTTTCAAAACTATATTATGCAAGTAGATGTATGCCCGTCATTACACATGATGAATTATAACGGTTTTATATTTGGCTGCCATTGTAAACCAACAAAACGTTACAGACAGACTGATCACGGTTTTTATACATAAGCATAATCGGTATATTCGTACCACCACCAACTTTGGGGATGCTAAGATTATAGACACATCACAAACCCCGTAGAGGCAAAACCCCTACAACCCCCTTTACACAATACTTATAATAAGTAACTACACATTTTATTTATAATTTTGTATATAAAAATGTATTATAACTTTTTCAACTTTATTTTTTTTACACGCACGCATGTCCGGTGTTTTGTTCTGCTTATTAACTATGAAATACGTGGATAAAATATTTAGTCTATACTATACAATAACGTATTGGGTATTATTGGGGAGGGGGAAATACTAATTTTAAACTTGGAGTTGGTAAAGACCCTCTAGAATCCGCCTAGTTGCGCCTATGAGTATAATAATAATATAGTATATTATTTCCTGTACTGAAATTTAAAATAAATAAAATGTATAAGAAGTCATGTATGTAAGCCATTTTCCTCCCAAAATATTACTATTATTAAGTATTGAATTTTGGTGTATTTATACGCGTTTCCTTTTACACCAAAACGGAACTGAATAAAAAAATCTCTTCGAATAAAAAAAATCTTACATGAAAACATGTCCGATTTTTGATATCATAGAGTTCACAAATCATTTTAAATTTTATTTTTTCAAATAATAGGTGCCTAATCTATAATATTATGTTTTTTGTATTAAGATACTGAATACAAATATTTTACTTTTTTTTTTTTTATTATTATTTTGAAATATGGATGATTCATTTGTTTACGCAAATCATATAAATAGATATTATGCCATTGAATATTATTCTATTATAATATAAACGTGTATTTTCAAACATTTTTAAAAAAATGATTTAATTATAATATACATACTAAGACTTGAGATGAACTCTACTTTTAAAATACGATTAACGTCATAACGTCATTTTTAAACAGGTACAGTTTAAGTTAACCTTGCAGCGATGTTGTAATGTTAGAATTATAGTAATATGGGCTGTAAATTGCAAAACTTACGTTGTTCAAATATGTATACTATATTGTATAGGTGCATAGACATGGGTAGTATTCTAAAAAAAATTGTCTGAATACTCTTTAATTATTCTAAATATTTTTTTAAATATTTTTCTTGAAAGCATTCAATTTATTGTATCTATGTGTAGAATAGTTATAGAAAGTATTTCTAAAAAAAAAAATGTGTTTTTGTCGTTCTCGCTTTAGAGTGTTAGTATAGTTTTACTATAATATGCGTATTTTATTTTCTCCACGGAAAAACTTTTTCAGTTGCCTTGTGAAAATGATCCGATTTTTTAGACATTACCATAAAATACGTGAAATTTCCACCCTGTGATACTTGATTGGAAATATTTTTCAAAATTCTCAACAATTCACTCTGCCTCTCTCCTCTATTCGGTCTTCGCCCTTTATTATTGATTTTTTCCTAAGAACCTATTTTCAATTTTCAGTTAGTTCCTACCTACAACAATGGCGCACCCATCAGTAAATCAACTCTTCTTGTTCTATAGATTGTATTTCTAAAATACATATTCGAAATAATATTTTTTGTATATATTTGAATATTTAAATTTTATTCTACCCAAGCCGGCAGGCGAACACATTTATAAGGGAACGGCTAGGTTCTCGCTATTCACGATGAATTTTTGTTGTGTCCGGAATCCGCAGTTCATTACTAATTGCATAGATTCATTGTTTGTTCAAAAATTACTTTTCCTACAAAAAAATTTACAATTAAACAAAAGACGGACATACTTCGCACGATGGGTGAACTACTGTTGTAAATGAGACATTGGGAAGAGGAGGGGAATTTAATATATTTAAGCAAAGATTAATCATTGCTAACGAAAAATGATTATGAACAGAGCTCGGTTAATAGTATTGTTTTTTCAACAACAATATATATGTCATATTACAGTAAAATAAATATAAATTGAAATAATTTTTGAAGGATCAGTACCTAGATTTGTTCCACATAATTCATTACTAAAACTATTTTCGTTAAAATCTGATATTAGAAATCTTATAAACTAATATACTACATTAAATTCAATTTATTTTCTTTTGACCACAAAGTTCGACTTTTAATTAACAATATAGTCTAACGATTGTTTCCACAGAGTAGATACCAAATAAAAACGACACACAAAATTAAAAGATTTATACATAGGTAACTCAAATATGACTCGGATGTTTTTACAGTTTTATCATGTCTAGATAAAGCAACTATAAGATTCAAATTTCAAGATACTACGAATATTTTTAACTGAATTATAAAAACATTATTTTTGTAAATTTTCCCGTTTTTCTGACATTTTATCCTGGTTTTTCCCAACTATTATGAAAACCGCTTAGAAAATCAAAAAGATATTGACCTCCCTAAAGTGTCATGTAAATTAAATTTCCTTTCAGAAATGATGCTACACTTGATACATCGGAGCAAGATTTCTGGAAAAAAAAATGTGCACATCAAATCGATCGGTATTTTTCGATTAAAAGTTTAAAAACTTAGCTATAAGTAGGGTTAAGAGGGTTCTATACCCCTAAACCGCTTATATCTCTCTAAACTCCCATTGATAAATCTTTAAATTGTATACACCACTGTGTATACAATTTAATTATTATCATCATAATATAAAATATGCTCAGAGGACGTACAATCTAAGAACTTACCACTCCCCCACCCCCATTAAACGTTGTAGTCCGAGCGAACGACGGTTTGGGTCACAAATGCATTTGTTTTTTCTCTGTTGTTTATGTATGGTTAGGTATATTATACCTAACCAACATAATAAACAATAACTGAACAATAACTAAACCAACATGAATTTGGCTCAATTTATGAACTCATACTGACTTATCTGGATTAATAAAATTGAAAGAGTGCAAAATAAATTTCTTAGATTTATTAATACTAAATTTCCTAATTATTTTTATAGTCGCCGGTTATTGTTATGAACCCCCTAGAAAACTTGTATTTGTCCTTAGTTCTAGACGTTTATATTCTGATGTCATTTTTATTTACAAAATCTTGAATGGCACTATTGAGGACAGTTTTCTTCTTGGCCAAATTAATTTATCTGTTTCCACTTTCAACTCTAGAAACCAGCCAACCTTTTACATTATTTGGCACAAAACACTTTATGGTTATTTTCCCCTTATCAATAGAGCCTGTAATAACCTGTAATATCAATATATTTTCTTTTTAACTATTTATGTACATTTTCATATTTAACTGTCATATATTTTCTGTATTGAATGCCTTTCGGCGTGTATTTTAAAATAAATAAATAAATAAAAAAAAAAAAAAATAGCTCAAATATGACTAAAATTTATAGAAAATTATACTACGTCTATAAAAGGCAAATATAAGATTTATGTTCGAATTTCCAAATGTCTCTATAAATATTTTTATCTGAATTACAACAAATAAAAATTATGAAAAATGATAAAAAAAAACATCGTAAATTGTCCGTTTTTCTTACGTTTTATCTCGGGTTTTTTTCCAGATTTTATGAAAACCTTTTGAAAAATTAAAAATTGACCTCCATAGAATAGACAATATTTCCTTTCAGAAATGGTGCCACACGTACATATCGGAGTTAGATTTCTTGTGGAATTGTTGTACACAGTATAAAAAAAATAAACATCTTCGTAAAACCAATACATTCTTTGCAACACTCAGAATTTAAAACAGGTATTACGTGTAATTCAAAATGATGTTACACAAATATAGTATTACCGTATTATTTCGTTTTTAAAACTTCTAATGAAAACTCCCGAGATGTTTTGTTAAAATAATTATTATTACTATATAAGGCAACGATCAAGGTTATATGCAGAACCATAACTCGTAATTTTATCGCGAACTGATTTCGAGACGTCTTCACATTTCTATATTTTCTTTAAACGCTATTACACCTATAATACTGACTAAATGAATCCTTAGAATAAATACTTAGAATAGAATAAATAAATTTTATCTTTAATGTTTGTTTATACACAAATATAAATCAAATAAGTACAATATTATACAGATAGAGGCGAATTATAAAGCAATGTTTCTCAACCATTGGGTGGCCAAAAAGGCCTACAAAATAGTTTAAAATTTTCCCTTTTATTTTTTTCCGGTACTGTGAAGACGTAAAATGTATGTAAAATGTAGGTAAATTTAATTAAATTATTGGCATCGTTATAAACTTTAGCTTTATTTAAAAATATAAGATCACGTGAACTGCAGTTGGATAAATATCATAGGTGTAGACATTGGTATACACAAAGGCCAAACACCACTGGTATATATAGTTTATAAACTATTATAGTACCCGCTTTGTAGATCGAGCTTTGCTGATATTCAGCATTTTGTAAAGACAATTTATTTTAATGCATACAATTTGTTTACGATTTAATCTGCTCGGGGTAGATTGACAACTTCGAATATATTTTCAAAAACACTGTGTTTGAATTCCGTCGGCTGTTTTCGCTTTGAATTGGTGAAGTTTTACTACAAGGATATCTTCTGAAATTAAAGATGTCATCTAAAACTCAGATTTGCAAAGTCAGTATCTTGATTTTAGATTCTGAGGGTAGTGAGGAATGCATTGGTTTTATAATGATATTTATTTTTTTTATTTTTTCATCTGTGAACAACATTTCAACCAGAAATTTTGCTCCGATTTGCTATAAGTGTAGCACTTTTTCTAGAAGGAAATTGGATTGGAATGTTGGGTATTTTAGGTAAGTCATTTTTTTGATTTCCCCAAGGGTTTTCAAAGTAAATGGGGAAAAACTTAGGGAAACGGGAAAATTTATGAAATATATTAGTTAGGAATCGTAAGTATTACAGACTTTCAAAACATATATAACCAAACTCCGTTCAAAATCGTTTTTCGTTAGCAATGATTAACTGTTGCGTACAGACATACATTAAATTTTCCTGTATCTTCATAACTTCTCACCTATAACAGTGGCTCACCTGTCTTAAGAAATATGCTCTTTTTTTTTTCATTTGCACCTATTTAAATTGAAATAATTTTCAACATTTTTAAAACTTTTTCCAAAAAAATGAGTTTTGTTTCCTATTGACTTTTACAATTACATAATTTTAGATTCTAAGAGAAGCGAGGAATATGTTGATTTTACAATGATGTCAATTTTTTTTTTTTTGTCATTTTTTTTATGTGAACACTTTTCTATTTTAAAATAATTTAAAAAGAAATTATTATTAAATTCTTTTAAAATGTATTGGTAATTAATTTTTTTACTTTAAACTTAAAATACAATTTTATATTTTTTCCCGCCTACCTATGATTTTTACCAAACTTTTTCATCAAATATTTTGTATGTCATTTGCATAAATTATGCTTGTTGTGTTTCAATTGTATATGACCATTGATTATGTTCTATTATCCAACGCAATCTAAATATTTTGGCATACCTATTCAATTACTTTTCAAGAGATTTTCTGTTTACTTAAATTTTCGAAGGCAAAGGTAATAATTTTTTTTTCTCCCGATAAAATTCCATAATATACTTATTACGTCTTAACGTCTTATCAGTACTTCGGACGTATGTGTCATTATCACTACATAATTTCGCACTGATGGTTCTGTCGTATGTGTGACGACACGTTTTCTCAAGTTGACTCATATAATATAAGCGTATTATATTACTATTTATAGTTTATTTATTATTTTTAATGCATGCTTGTTTAATGGGACGTGATTATGTGTACATATATTATAATATTATTATTCCGAGATGTTATAATATATAATAATTATTGTTTTGTAAGGTTAGGGTTTAAGAGAGAAAAAAAAAATGTTTTTATTTATTTATTTTATTAGTGTATGCTCTACGTGAAACGCTATTACAATAACATAATATTATACAACTCACGATAATTATTTTAACAAACACGAGTAGTTGTGCTGCGGCTATTCGCACATATGATTAATATAATAATGTGCGCCTTATTCCAACAATGACAGTGTAATAAACGAACATTGTAACTATTATATTGACTGGTGTGTGGAGTGTAATATAAGTTTTATCGGCGATATACATTTTTCCTAAAATCAAACTAATATTAACCAATTAACAATAATATAATGTGTAGTTTGTAGAAAATGGACCGAATGAAATCCTGACTACGCGCCAGTGTATACACAATTTTTGACCTTCGTTATAGGTCGTAAGGTAATCGAGGAGACGTTCGTAAAATGTATTTAATTTATACACGTAAAAACGATACACGCGAGCGATTGATGTTTTCAATAAATTATGCCATTATTTATGAAAACAATAAACAAAACCTGGACGCATGTATAATTATTATACCCCGTCCTTCTACTTTTTTTAAAATGTACTAATTATAAGTTAATACAATAGTATAATAATAAAAACTTTAAGTTCATTTTTGGAATTCATATTTAATAGTTTTTCGAGACAAATCATTGTTATGGCGTTGTCGCCAACTTATCCGTAGACCTATATAGATAACAACATTGTAAAAAAGAAAAAGCGTAGCCAGGGGGTTTGGGTATTGCCACCTTTCCCCGCCCCCCATTTATATTTGTTGGCTATAAGTAGGGTTAAGAAGGTTGTATATCCCTAAAACCCCTATATCCCTCTATACCCCCATTGCTAAATTTTAGATACACCGCTGTGTATACAATTTAATTTCCATCATCATAATATAAAGCATGCTCAGAGGACGTGCAATCTAAGAACATACCACTCCCCCACCCCCAATAACCCTTGTATCGAAATTTAACTGGACAAATTGTTATGAGTTAGAGTTCACTATATTTTGTAAGTTCGTATTTTTTAGAATCGGTTGATAACCTAAACATTTTATTGTATTTCGGACGAATTAAACGAACATACATTAGTGAAATTACTTTAAAATAAAAATTATATTTTCCTTTCGTGCTATCCCTCGTTTTAAAAGTAATTGCACTTTCTCCTTTAGGGAGTCAATTATATTTTAAATTAAAAATAATATACTCTGTATTCAAATATTTATTTTGCGGTTTACCTAATTACTTTTCCGTTCATCCCCCTACAGTATAATAAGTAAAAGAACATTTTTAACAAACAACTTTCTAATTTTCAATTTGTCACACTTAAAATCGATTTAAAATTCTCTTATTCATGTTGTGTTTACTAACTTTCGAGGTAAATCAGTTTTATGAGCGACTATAATATATTATTATATACGCAACTCTAATTATAAATTTGCAATCAAAACTATAAATTGATGCAACTAAGCTATACAGGGTTATCAATCCGGACACTCATTACCTCGAAGTATATTAACTTTTTCCGTAGTTTGTTTTTTAAACCATCTATGAAACAAGCAGCTGTAAAATGTTACATCATCGTTAATTTTTATGGTAAATATTTTTGGGGGTAAAACCAACTATTTACTTTTGATTTACTAATAGCCACCTGTATTAAAAAAAATCCCTTAAATTATAAAGTTTTTGTTTAATTACATTTTCGTGCTGAAATTATTCATTTTCATTAAACCGTTGATGAGATATCGCAATTTTAAATTTGCCATTTTGTAGCTAAGGGTGGGGAGAGTATGTAAAATATATATTCTATCTCTACTCAAACGCGTGAAGATAAATTTGAAAATAAAAAGTGGATAATGGGTTCTCCGCTATCAATAACGGTCATGTAAAATTGTAGAGCCACATGTTTCATAAGTCGTCCAAAAATTAATAATTGCGAAAAAAGTTAATACTTTTTGATACAATGAGGGTCTCATCAAGGATTTATCATTCTGTATTATGTGCATTACTTATTATAATATGTTGAGTCGAATATTTTCAATTTTTCATAAATAATTATTATAAAATACGAAAAAGTTTTTGAACGATAATTATTCGATTTGAACGTATTTAACCATTTTAACATGTAAAATTATAAACAGATATAGAGTAGCGGTACATTGTGTTTATGGCGGTATAACCGAAGAGTTTACATCAACCGGCAATTTTTAATTAAACATTAGTTATAATTATACATGTATACACACAGTTCGTTGGCACGTTTTATTTTGGTCTATAGGTAGGTAACATACACACTTATAATTCGTACTGCAATATTATTCGACATATTCATCCGATGATTCAGAACACTGTAATTTCCATGTGACCATATAAATTATCTTTAAATATTAAATGATATAGAAATAAATTAAAATCATTGTTTTGCAGTATTTTGTAAATACACCTGTTTACGATCGGCTGTAAGAACACGGCATGTTTTCAATTATATAATATATATGCAAATTGACCGTGTAGTTAAAATGTAAAAGATTATTATTATTATACTATTGTTTACACACGGATATCATAATTTAGCAATATTATATTCTTCATATATTTTTGTATATTTGTATCCATATTGTATATAACACTAGGTAGTAACTTTCCTGCGGTTTATATCGAGCTCTGTTCAGAATCGTTTTTTGATGGCAATGAGTTATCGATTATCGTTATTTTCAAAACTGAATTATCCGATATCCTATACCTTCTAAACTTCCTAGCAGTGGCCATAGTCCGAAGTATATTCGGCTTTATTTTTTTTTTTTTATTAAAAAATTGATTGTTTTCAAATTAGATGTAATGATAAGTATTTCGATTAGAATGCGGTGATAATTGTTTTTTTTTTTTTTGTTTTCGTAGATTTTAATCTTATATTATTACATTATGTTGCGTTCGTAAAGTTTTGACCGCGGATCACGTGCAGATTTGTTTTTTATTTTATGTCAATGAACGGACTCGGTTCAGAATCATTTACGAATGATTCATCGAATTCGAATTTTAAATAACATCACACCCGTTCAGCCAAATTGTCCATTCTGTAAAACAATAGATCACAATACAACGTGTCCAAAGTGTGTCGTTTTTGTACGTTTTGTTGTTTTATTTAACTCGCGTCATTTTATTAACGTCGTCATAGTATGACTTACAATTGCCCTTAGTGTGTATAGTGATTAAAAATGTTATACATTTATACAATATTATACGATATACGCGTTACGCTGTTATTTTGAAAAATAATTAACAATTATGTGACGTGTTATATAAAACGTGCGAATTGGTGTAAATGAAATAAAATAATATAATCCTGCGTGTGTCATAATTTAACTGATTCTATACCGTTAAACTGTAATTATTTTTAAAATTAGTATTAATTTATCTGGTCGTTTATAGTAGTGAAAGTAGGAAAAACTTCGAGAGGAAACTATATTTATCGAAAATTGATAAGTGTTCCAGAGAACCAACAAAATCTAATCAAACTTTCAGCAAACCCACCATTGAGACAAAACTTCCAAAATATTTTTTTCTCACACATATTTATTCATAAAAATGTTAGGTCTTACTAATGGGGTTTAAAAGTAAACTGCACTCCCTCGCAAGTATTAGTCTATGCATATGCTTGCAGCTCAGTAAAGTAAAACAAAGCCTGATTACGTATAATCGTATAGATATTAAAGAATTTATTTCTCATAAAACTTATTCGAGTTTTTAAATTTCATTAAAAATACCTCAGCGACAATAACTAAAACGTCTACTTCCCCCCTCCCCTTGGACATCGAAGACAAACTAGTGGGCACTGATAATTGGGCACAAATAAGTGCCCCCACTGATCGTCTTTGTGTTCGAGTTTATATAATTAACAACTCGACTATACCTTTTTAATGCAAGTAATATTTTTCCATTTCCATTTGTACTCTATAGTATACTTCTTTTGTGTTCGTGACCACTCTATCCAATCTCTTAAATACTTTTCAGATGAATTTCCATTCCGTATATCTCGAATGAGGCGTTATAATGTTAGCGTATATAATGTTTCCTACTCCGACACATATTTACCCCTAGTTGTTCCGACTATGACAGGGATGGTAGACTGTCGATTTGAGGACATTTGAGGACCACTCTTCCGATATACCCCCCCCCCCGACCATGTCGATACCAATCCAGTAAAATATCTTGGTCGTGGTGGACGGTGGTTCTCAACCTTTGCGTTAAGTTAAGTATTTTCTGTCTCCGAGCGGTCGCATTAG